GCAAATTTCAACGGTAATTCTCAAACGGCTATATTGATATATATGACCGTTAATTATCGAAAAAATTAATTATGGGCTTAGTTATTGTCTTAGTGAGGCCCAATTAGTTTTTAAGACCACAAACATATCTACGGTTTTAAACGTCTCTTTTGGCCGTACACCGGAAACTCTGGTAATATTACGGTGGGACATAATTCTGGTGTACCGGCGATGATACATCCTCTTTTTTTAAATATCAATGAGGTGGATGATAAATCCATTTGGTTATATTATACATATACATAAAACTTGATAAGTCACTTATTTTCTTGCAATACAACAAAATATCATATGATAATACAACTTCTTTATTAAACAGAACAAGAATGCTTATAGAAGAGGAGACTGATGAGTTCTAGTGCTACGACGTTTCTTTCGGCCAAAAGTCTTCATGAACCACTCATGCTTATACGAGGTCACTATATATCCGATTGTTAATCCAAATACTAGTCCAGGTGCAAAGCCTAACCCTGCTGCTACCCAACTCAATCATTCCTCTTCTTCTTCTGACTCCAACGGTTCATGTTGTTGTGATGTTGGCGTGTGATTATCTCCACAAATATCCTTAAGAGAAGGACCATACAGTCCGGGGTTACCCTCGTAGGAGGAGCAATTTTGTCTTTGAAATTGTGTGCCTTGTGGTATTGAACCTACAAGCTGATTATGTGAGAAGTTTATCCACTCAAGAGAAGGCATGTTCCCGAGCTCCGGAGGAATCTCACCAGAAAGCTTGTTTTGGGATAAGTCAAATGACTCGAGCTTCGTCAGGTTTCCCAAAGATGATGGGATGTTCCCCGTGAAACCATTGCTTGACAAATTCAGCACATAAAGTCCTTTTAACATGCCAATGGATTCAGGAATACTTCCTTGGATTTTGTTTCCAGATAAATCAATGGTTGTGTAGATTGTGAGGATACGAGTCATCTCCACTTCTATTCCTTTGCTCATTAAAACCAGTGAATATGAGTACCCTCTTCCACTTCCCATGTACTTCAATTCTGTATCGTCTCCACTTGTGCACATCGCCTTCCATTTCGTGAAGTAATCAGAACTTAAAGTTCCCGAGAAGTTGTTATGTGATGCATCAATGATTCTCAGATTAGAAAATCCATTATCAACTTTGGGATGATGTAACGCGCCATGAAACTTATTAGAGCTTAGCACAAGAACTTGTAGCATTTGTAGAGAACTCAGCCAAAACGGAAAAGTGTCGTTGATTTGGTTGTTTCCCACGTTCAGAACTTCAAGGCTTAAGCAACTAATTAGAGATGTTGGAAGCTTCCCTACCAATCGGTTGTGACTGACGTCAAGCGACGTCAAACTTTTGGCATTGATAAATATGTCAGGAAGACTTCCGTTGAGGATATTGTTATGAAGATTCAAAATAGAAAGAGAACCCATATGCTAAACACCGAGGAATTGAGCCGTGGAGGTTGTTGCTTGATAGATCGAGGAGGGATAGAGAGCTTAGTCCACATATTGATCGAGGTATCTCTCCGGTGAAGTTATTCTTCGAGGCAACATAATGTTGGATAGATCTTGATGGGATGAAGATTGGTCCTTGGAAAGCATTGAACTTAGATCAACAGAATAGACATGGCTCTCGGAAGAAGTTTCTAAGGATCCCTTGAAACCGGTGAGAGAGTTTTTAGAAAGACCAACAACTAACAACTCTGGCAAACTCCACAACCAGTCTGGTACTTGACCTTTGATTTTGTTGTTAGAAAGGTATAGAGAAAGTAGATTTCTTTGGTTTCTTATGAACTCAGGGAACTCAGTGATGTTGCAGCCTGCCAAGTCCAAATATTGCAAATTCGAAGGAAAAAAAGAATCGGAAGTGATGTTTGTTGTTGAAAGAGGAATCCCTGAGAGATCTAACTCTAATAGCTGCTTGAGAGGTGAGAAGACATTTAAGTCAACTGGACTGACATTGTAATTGTTATAGCCAATATGTAAATATTGGAAATTAGGTAACAGAGAGATGTTCTCAATCACAACGAGATTGTTGAGTTGGTTACCACGTAAATGTATGGTGGTCAATGAAGAAATATTGAAAAGGCATGAAGGAATGGGTCCCTTAAAAGAATTAGCACAAGCTACAAATTCCTCTAATTTGGAGAGTTGGCTAATGTTAGGTGGAAGGAAACCTGTGAAATTATTGGAACAAAGATTGATATGACTTAGCTTGGTGAGATTGAGTAGTGCTGATGGAAAGTTTCCGTTGAGCTTATTACTCCCAACATTAAAGAGTGTCAACTGTTTAAGATTGTCAATCGAAGAGGGGATTTCACCAATGAAGTTATTGAAAGAAAGATCGAGAGAGGAGAGATGAGAAAGATTCCCAAGTGAAAATGGAATCCTCCCTGAGAGATTAGAGCCGGAAAGTGCTAAAGAAGTCAAATGGTTGAGGTTGCCAAGTGAAGGAGGGATTTCACCAATAAAATTATTATTAGAAAGATCGAGATAGGAGAGATGAGAAAAGTTGCCAAGTGAAAATGGAATCTTCTCTGAGAAATAAGATGTGGAAATTGTCAAAGAAGTCAAATGTTTGAGGTTGGTGATGGAGTTAGGTATGGAACCCGAAAAGGATGTCTCTGAAATGTTCAAAATTTGAAGAGAGTTATTTCCAAGAAAATTGGGAAGATTGCCTTTTAGATTTGGATTGTAAGCCTTAATGGACTGTAATTTAGGAATCAGAAGAACACTGCTTGGAAATTCTCCAAACAAGTTGCATTCCTCGAAACCTAGCGATCTAAGAGACCGCATGTTTGAAAGCTCATGAGGGATTTTTGAAGAAATGTTTACGAAGCTTAAATATAGTTCTCTAAGGTTCATCAAGTTTCGAGCAAGTAGAGGAAGAAAAGACTTATCAGTGGATAAAGAATTTTGAGAGAAAGAAGAAAGATCTAGAGACACCAACTTGGTCAGCTGAAGAAGCTTGGTTGGAATTTGGCCTGAAAATGAAGAGTTGGAGAGGTTTAGTCTTTCTAATCCCTTAAATATATCAAACTCCGCTGGGATCGGTGAGCGAGCGAAATCGTTGTAAGCGAGGTTTAGCTCACGGAGATGACGCAGTCTAAACAGACTACTGTTGGATTTGAGCCGGCCATAGAGACAACTGGAAGTAAGGTGTAGTCCAATCACTTTTCCCGATTTAGCATCACACGTGATACCATCCCAAGAACAACAGTCACTCTTACTCATCCACGATTCTGTTTTTGGATTAGATCATATCTTCTGGATCCCAAACTCAGTTTTGAACTCAAGAAGAGCATCACTTTGGTCGGAATCACACAAATCATGTTGTGTAGGAGAAACAAACGTGTTTAGATAATTTGAAATGAGGAAAAAGAAACAGAGGGAACAAAGAAGAAAACTCATTTTCTGATTATATAAGAATGTTTTCATATTTGTGAAGGCAAGTAGTGATGATAAATTAGTGTTGCTGGTCACTTACATATATATAGCTCCATCGACTTGATAATTTGAAGTCTTTTGAAGAAAAGTCTTCCCTGCTAAAAGTCTTAATGATTCTTCATGCAAAATTGACTAGAAAAGCATGATTGTGACTACCAAAGTCGTTCTTGACGCCAAAAAAACGCAAATCTTGTTTAGAATTTTTGAAACCAGTAGCAAAAGTCACTCTCAAAAAGCAAACTAGAATTGTAGTTTAGTGAAGGCAAGTAGAAAAATTCAAGTACCGTGTAGCTTAAGCAAACGTCGACTTCAGAAGGGACTCCTTGTGGCATTTTTTTCCACGAAATGTCGATAATGATTTTTTTTGGTCTAAAGTCGATAAAGATTTGATTGAAACAATAATGACATATACGATTGTTGAGTGTTTTCACTTTTATGTGTGACTTTTCATGTCTTATAAAAATTAACAAACGATCTAAACTATAACAAAATATATAGTTCCGAAAACAAATGCCATAATCGAATAATTTCTTAAATGGGAAACTTACAAAAAGTTTACAACGTGGAACTTCTCTTACCGTGTTTAACAAGTTAAACAAAGACAAAACCTTAAGGAATCAGAAGCTTTAACAGCTACAAGAAACTCTTCTTCTTCTCAATCTGACCGTCTCCTTGAAGCTTCTTTTGTTATATACACTGACACCAAAATCTGGAAGAAGTAACAAAGCATTCCCAAATAATCTCTCAGGCACTCTTTAAGGCTCTTTATCGCGCGATTCTTCGACTAAAGGAGTTTCCTTGAGCGAAAAGTCATCGAGACTTTCGTCTTCCTCTGTATCAGCCTTAAGCTCTTTGAACATTGACATCACTTGAATCATTGTTGGTCGCTTAAACGGTCGATCGTCTAAGCATTGAGATGCGATCTTCAAGTAATGAAACAGCTCAACCTCGCCTGATTTCTTGGTTACAAGCTCAGGATCAAGAATCTCAGCTCCTCTTTTCTCTCTATAGAGTTGTTTCGCCCACCCGACGAGGTTATTGTCTTCTCCAAACTCCTTCGGATCGATTGGTTTCTTACCAGAGAGAAGCTCAAGTAGTATAACTCCGTAGCTGTAAACATCTCCTTTGGCCGTACACCGGAAACTCTGGTAATATTCCGGTGGAACATATCCTGGAGTACCCGCGAGCGTGCTCACGCTAAGATGCGTGTCTAGAGCGCTTACAAGCCTTGCCATACCGAAATCCGAGACCCGTGCTTCGAAATCTTCATCTAGAAGAACATTGCTTGATTTCATGTCTCTGTGGATTATGTGAGGAATGCAGCTATGGTGTAGAAACGCTAGTCCTCTTGCAGCTCCAATCGCGATCTTCTTCCTCGCGGCCCAATTTAGAAAGATTCCGCCTTTTTTCACTGATTTCTCGTGAAGAACGGTTTCTAAGCTTCCCCATTTCATGTATTCGTAGACAAGAAGCCTCTCTTCACCGATCTTGCAATATCCCAAAAGCGGAACGAGGTTTCTGTGTTTGATTTTTCCGATTGTTTCCATCTCAGCCATGAACTCTCTATCACCTTGTCCAGTGATTCGGATCAACTTCTTGATCGCTACAATAGATCCGTCTCTTAGTTGAGCCCTGTAGACTTCTCCAAACCCACCAGAACCGATCATAGTCTCTGCGCTAAACCCGTTTGTGGCTTCAAGAAGATGTGCGAAAGTGAGTTTTCTCAGCGGTTTCTCGAACGTAGCAACGTTGATGCTAAGCGGTTCAGGAACGCTAGAGAGCTTCCAGCTATAGCTTCCGGAAGTTGGAAGGCTCTCAATGTATTTCTCCCTCTTCTCTTCTTTCTTCTGAACCTTTCTCACCTTGTAAAGAGCCATGATTAGCATCACAAAGCACATGAAAGAAAACGCGATTCCAGCAATCACAGCGGTTGCAAGGGTTTGCTTCTTGGCATGGACACGAGAGGTTATAGGCCGAGGAGCAGAGCCGCAGGGACGCAAGGGAACGCCGCAGAGGCCAGAGTTGTTTGCGTATCTTGAGACAGGGAACGTTGTAAGCTGACCTCCAAATGGGATTGGACCGGTGAGGTTGTTGTTAGAGACATCAAGATCGCTGAGGAAAGAAAGTGATCCGAGTGATCCGGGTAAGTATCCTTGTAGATCGTTGTGAGATAGATCAAGAACCCCAATAGCTTTCAATCCTCCAAGACTATCCGGGATGGTACCGGTTAATCGATTATGTCCCAAATTCAAGACCTGAAGATAGCCCATGTTACCATAACTTGGAGGTATAAAACCGGACACTAAGTTGTACGAAATGTCGAAGTAGATCATACTTCCGTTTGCTGAGAATGTGTACATTGTCATGCCTGAGTATATCCGTGTCGCGGGACACGAATGAACCATCGGAAACCTCTCTAATCGCTCTGCCCGAATGCCTTCAAACTCAACTAATCCGCCCGCACCTCTGCAATCTGTACCACCTTCGTTCCTCACAAACGCAAACTGTTTCCCTGAAACGCTCCCAGGCATTACTAACCCGGCCTGGCTAGCTAGCTCACCCGGGAGGTCCCCGGTTAGATTGTTACTGTTCAGATCAAGCCAGATCAAGCTCTTACAGTTCCCGAGCTGGCGCGGAACGTTCCCGGACAATGAATTGTTCCCAAGCTGCAAGATTGCTAATTTAGCAAGACCACCAATTCCGCTAGGGATTTTCCCGGTCAAACGATTACTCGAAAGTGAGATCCATATCATATTAGTGCATCTCGAGATCGATTTCGGTATTGAACCAGTTAAGAGATTGTTGTTGAGGATGAGAGTTTCCAAGTTACCTCCTTTAACACAAACACCCTCAGGGATACTTCCGGTGAGATTATTCGCCCACATAACCAAATCCGACAGATTCGGTAATGTCCAAATCTCGTTCGGAATCGGACCAGTAAGAGCATTGAAGCTAAGATCAATCGTCTTCAAGCTCTTGCATTTACCAAGCTCCATAGAAACAGTTCCTGAGAGATAATTGTTAGCAATGAGAATCTTTTCAAGAACCGGCGAGCTTTGAACGGAGCAGAAACCAGACGGTACATCTCCGGTGAAACCATTTGAGCTTAGATCAAGAACACGAAGATTAGTACAGTTGGTGAGTGAAATCGGAACAGAGCCTGAAATGTTGTTGTAAGCAACGTATAGATAACTGATTCCGGTGAGTTTACTCACGACGGTGGTTAAGAACTCGCCGGAGAAGAAGTTGTTTCCGAGGTTTAGGTTCTGTAATGAGACACACTCCGTGAACTGTTGAGGAAGCTCGCCGGAGAGAAAGTTCCCGGAGAGATCGAGAGTCTTTAAGGTTTTACAGAGTAGTGAAAGCTCCGGTGGAATCTCGCCGGAGAGACGGTTATGAGAGAGAGAGAGATACTTCAGACTCTGGAAACTTCCCCAATATTCACCTCCGGGGATTTTTCCGGCGAGATTGTTCCGAGAGATGTTTAACGTCTCGAGGGATTTGCAGTTTGGTAGTGAAGTCGGGAACTTTTCGCCGGAGATATTGTTCTGTGATAAACTGAAGAAGCTGAGATTCCGACAAAACCCGAAACTGAGATCGGAAAACTCGCCGGAGATATTGTTGTGAGTTAAATCGAGATATTTCAACGACACCGGAAAATCAGCGATGAAGCTCTCCGGGATGTTTTCCGATAAGAGATTGTAAGAGAGATCAACAGAAACAAGATTCCGACAAGACGACGGAGCAAAACCCAATTTTCCGACAAGCTTGTTGTTGGAGAAATTCACAGAGACAAGATTCGAACATGTCGAGAAAACGTAATCCACCATTGAGTAATCAGAGATTGAGTTCGAAGACAAATCCAGAAGCTCAAGATCACAACTTGAGGTTGATGAAGAAACAGAACCAGAGGAAGAAGAGAAGTAGTTTCCTTGCAGGTAAAGATTCCGGAGATTAGGTAACGACGACGTGAGGTTAACTAGGTTTAGGGTTCCGGTGATTCCGCCGTTACGGAGATCAATTCCGATGATTTGACCGTATTCAGAGCAAGAAACGCCTCGCCATGAACATGAACCATGACCCGACCCGTATTTCCAGTTACCCAGAAAGTTATTCGGGTCAGATTTTACAGAGATTTGCTTGAACGCCATTAAAAGAGAAGCTTCGTCGTCGTTGATTAGCCTTTTTCCATGAATGCCCATCACTGGAGAACTCGTGAAGAAACAGAGGATCAACACGAACAGCCATTTTTGCTTCATTTGCACACCAAGTGTTCGAGTAAATGCCTTATAGAGGTTCTTCTGTTGACTTGTTCTGATTCATTTACTGTGTTCAATTCCTCTGAGAGCTTCACGAAGAAGAGAGCTTGTTACTCTG